CTTTTGATACAATAACAATTGAGGCTTTTCCTCTCAGTGGTGTACAGTTGCTATGTACTTAGATGCATTGTATTAGAAAAGTACTCGGAGGGTACTCTAAAAGTGCAGAGCATTTTGGGAAAGTACTGGCCATTTTTATTAAGGGAATTTCACTATTTTTGCAACAAGGTTATGAACAGGGTTTCTGTGTGAGGCCTGAGTACCAGATAAGGTCTACAGCGTGGAACATAAACATGGCCTTTTAAAAAGTAAACAAACCTGGATTGACAATGGGTGCCACCATCATATCTTTACCCAAGAAGAACTGATCATCCAATCGGTTGGCCGTGTAACCGTTATATCCCCACCCATGCGGGTCATCTGCGCGTGCATCGTTATAGAATTCTCCCGGTTTGTACTCATCCATGAACAGGGGCCGGCAGATGGGTTTACCTGTCTTCGTGTTCTCATACATGGCATCGTAGATGTACTGAATAAGTTTGTACCTCAACTCAATGTACTTTCGGCAGATTGTGGGGACTGGTTCTTCATAGCAGTACGGCTCTTGGTATGGCTTGTAATAGTTATCATAGTGGTTTCGAAACCAAGGAAGAAACGCTCCCATTATGGTCCAGCGCGTCAGCATCTCGGAATCCACAATCTGGCCTTGCCATGCTGCACAGAAGCCCCCAATGTCACAGCCGGAGACCGGCTGCGCAGATAGGCCGATGCCAAGCACCAATGGAATGTTCATCTGTATGAATTCCCAGTTTGATGTACTATCCCCAGTCCACAGACCAGCATAGCGATGGACGCCGACAAAGCCACCACGAGCGATGATGAAGTGGCGTTTGGTTGGTCGGAGACGCTGCAGTCCTTGGTAAGTGGCTTTGCAGAGATTGTAGTTGTACAGACAACGGATTTTGGCGAATGGTTTCTTGTCATGATGGGTGCTTACTTTGGAGTACCTAGGAGAGGAAAAAACCGTTATCAAGTCTTAACATACAATATCATTGGACCTATGCAAACAAACAAAGAAACAAGTACTCCAAGTAAACAGAAATAACTCGTAAATCCCTGCTTTTAGCTGCCTTCTATCAAAGCCCAGCGAAGAATTTTAGTTTAAGGCAAACGATTCAAGTTCAGCGCATGGCAGTTTGGCCCCACTGCTGTCACAACACCGACCTTGACAAAAAAATCCTTGAATGTAGCGGACTGATTTCTTTTGCCAAGATCTTTCCTTTCCTTCCGGCTGTAAGTGACCTGGTTACTAGACTAATAACAAACCTGGTTTCCTCGTTGTCACTGATCATTATATCCATAGGAAATGACAGCAGGGGACAGTCAGGCTGATGAACACTCGCTTTCATCGCTGGAGTGGTCATGTCTTGCCACACGAAGTCCAATCCCCAGTCTAACAGATCTCGGTACTGCTCGCCCCACCATTTCTGTGCATCCAGCCGTCCCAGATCAGGGTAGTGTCCCCAGGTCAGATGACCGCGCCCATAGTTCACGTTACCGATGTATTCATCATGGGTGCCACTGCCATCTTCCCTTGTGTTCATCACAAAGATGCCGCCGGCTTTTCCAGTGTCCAGGGCTTTGTACGGACTGTACTCGCCATTTTCATCTGTGTTGCAGCTCACGATGGGTGTGATGTTTGTGCTGCATTTGTACCCCCAATCGTGCAAGGCATCAAACATCTCTTTAGGATCAGGAAACTTCTTTTTGCTGTGCGTGAAAGTGCGGTAGTTGTCCTGCAAATCCACATCCACATGGAGCCCGTCAATTGGAATCTTCCACTGACGGTACTTGAGCGCCACTTCCAGTAGCTTCCACTTGGTGTTGTAGTTGGGGCCATACCCTCCTTGGTGGTAGCCAAATACGTACTTTGGCTTCGGCTGAGTGCGCCCGGTCAGCTGGGTGAACTCGTTCAGTACTTCAGCCACGTGCTTACCAGCAAAGAAGTAGTAATCAAGCTCCCCGTGCAATGCTCCGAAGTAGTACTGATCTCCCTGGCGAAAATTCACGAATGTCTGCGAAGTATTATCGATCAGGATTCCGTTGGCGTACGAAGGACCGGCGAATGCTCCGATGGGTTCTGGATTGTGCTCAATGAAGAACGGTGAAGACTGATATAATGGAGAATTAGGATTTAATGGCCCCTGTACCTCACCATCGGGTGTTAGATCTGGTGCAGTGTAGCCGAAGTTGTCATAGTTGAAAAATGTCATGGCAGCTCCGATCTTCTCGTTTTCCCCTGCGTATTGGCCATAGAAATGCTGTTTGGGAACACGTCTCTTGTCAAGCGTTGCACCTGCCTTCTCTCCAAATCCCAAATATTGAGCATTGGTCGGCGCTATCTTGAATTGAGCGGTAGCCTCACCACCGTCATCACGCTTCACATAGACCAGGTTGTAGTCACTCGGATCGCCGTGAATCAACTGGCCACCGCGGTACACGGACAGGGCGTATTTCTTCAAATTGACATGGATCTCGATCTTGTCAGTGCCAATCTTTAGAAATCCACCTTGTTCCTTGACTTTGATGTCGGAGGCCTCGATCCTTTCCACCTCAGTGGCTGGAGAGCGAGTCTTCACATACGGAGCTTTGGGGTCAGGGTTGAACCGCACCCGAAACATGGCGTGGGAAAGGAAATAAATGTAAACTTTAAGATCGCCTTCAAGGAAGAGGGTGAATTTATCTACCACTCCTTCTTCTTCTTGAATCCACTTCGTTACTCTGCCCAAATGAATCCAGTTCATCCGAGACTCTGGAGTAAACTCGTCCGGAGGAACGTAACGGTAATTTGCCATCTTCGAAGCAGAAATAAGTTGTGGTTGATCTGCAAAAAAAGGGAGTCAAGTACTTTGTTTTGAGCAAGAATTATCCTTAGTTTTGTTAAAATGATCCTTATGATCATTTTCAATTTTCGGGAATTCGAAAAGCTGACATCTGAAGAGCTCAGCGATGTAGTCACCAAGGAAGTTTCATTAACCTTTTAATTCCACGTAGTGATTAACATGTAACTTCTCCCTATAATATCCATACATTATCCAGCAAACAAGTAATGAGAATATTCAAACTTATCAGGTTTAAGTTGTTATCTTGTTTAACACCAAATTCTCGTAACTAATTTATAGGAAAATGTGAAGCAGCGAGAGGGGAGAATTAACAATCAGATCGTGGGAGTTAAAGATAAACGAGAAATAAAAAACGCTCAGATTCGACAGATTTGTGATTCGGGGCAGAATCTGTCTTTGCTTTGTGAGGTTGATTAATGACCACTATTGCATAACTTTCTTAGACAATATAAGAAGGACTTGATCGAGTGTCCTGTGGTTTACCTTCAGATATCCTGTGGTTGTTCAATTATCTAGCTACTTCAGAACAAGCAAAGGATTTGGTCTGTGTTCGTGCTCAGATCGACAAATAACTACCTTTCCTTCATTGATTGTTTCAACAAAGCACAAACATAGAATTTCGACCTCCTTTTAAAGAGAGAGTCACGCTCCGATTCAATCAATTTGCCATCAATGATAACAAATGCAATTTTTTTTTCAGTCAGTTATTAGGTACTGATTGTTAATAACAAATGTCTGTAGACTGTTTCAAAAAAGAACACTAATGCATCCTGTTTTCACTGCATATTTCAACCGAATTTACGTTCTCCACAAAAAGAAACGATTGTTCGCGTTCGGTCATTAATTATTCCGAGCCTGAAGTTGCATGTTCTTCACTAAAACTGCATGCAAATGTGCAGCTATACAGAGCTAATGTGTGGCAGAGCAGCTTCAATTTCATGAGCGGTTTCTGTTCTGGAGTCTTTCCAGGGGATGTAGTTTTTGGCCGAAAATGTACCAACTAATTCCTTTAGACGATAGACGGATGACTTACCTCTATTAAACCTGATCCCCAGAGTAGATGCACTTGAATAAGTGGAAAGCCGAGAGGGAGTGTCATTGTTAAACAACTATTTATACGAAACTGACCAATCGTACTAACGGGAACGAGTAACAAATTCCGCTTAAGCTATTTCCTATCACGCGATTGGTTCATTTTGTGTGGGTGACCAAAGCAACGTAAGTAGCATTTGAAGAACTGTTCATCCTTTGTTCACAACAAACAGCGGTCTGATAGATCATGAGGGATGCACGAATTTCACACGTCGAATTTTAATGCTTTTTCGTGCTTCGGTTCTGAAAAATGTGAAATGTTGGATGTCAATTATCAGACATAGTTGTGTTTGTTTTTTTTCTTTTCGTTAAGCTAGTGATCCCAGAACAATTGGCACTGACGTAAACGTGTGGTAACACTTTTTTTTTCTATCAAGACTCTTGAAAAACGAATTAATTGCTTTATAGCTCCGTGAGCAGCCTTATAGTCCTGCGAAAACGGAATTTTTTTGTTGGAATTTTTAGCAACGTAATAAATCATCTCTAAAACGAGCCCGTTGGGACATAAATAGATAGTTCAGCTTTGTTAAATTTCTTTTCATTTTGTGTATCATTCAGTTCAATATATCCTTTTCAAAATACAATACATGCAGTGGACCTAAACAGTTCGAAGTCTCGTGAATTACGTCAAAAGTTTGATGCGGTTATTACGCTTTAGCATTTGATCGTAATAATGTGGTCGTGCACAACTGATGGAAGCAGTTGGACGGTTTAATTCGCTTCTTCACTGGCGCTCCTCCAACAAGTTTGTGTCGTGACTGTCTAACTTATCTAGCTCAAAGACTTAAAAATATGGAAACTGCCTCATTTATGTCGTATTTTCCTTTATTTGCTCCTATCAGGCCAAGGTAGATGGTTAGAAATTTAACAAAAATTAGGATGCAAGGTCACGAACGAGGCTTCTTTTGAAGTCTCGCTTGAGAAGTAAACTTGAACGAATGATATTGTTACGAGCCTTTTTTTTTTCTCAAAATAGTCGAGACTACTGCTGGATATTTTAGGCTGCCCATGCAAATTTGCATAACACTCACACCTAATTATTTTTTCCACTTCACTTCGCCAGCCGCTTTCTTTTAAGAAAGGACGCAATTACCAAAAGCCTTCTGACGTTATTACGAAAAATTACATACAAGTAGAAAACGAATTTGCAAATTTTCAAAGTTTCTCTAGTCCAAGTGACTGACTGAGGTAAAAGATTACGAATTCTTTGCTTAAATATTGGTTACCCAGGCAAATTTGCATGACATTTACCTCTAATCATTTCTTTTACTTCACAAGGGCACTTGATTGTATAGCATCACGCCAGTGGCTTAACTTTCTTTCAAGAAAGGACTCCATTACCAAAAGCCTTTTAAATTACGAAAAATGGTGTACAAGTCAAAAACGGATTTGAAATTTTCCAAGTTCCTCAAGTCTAAGTGGCTTACTGATGTGAAAGATTACGAACTGAAGAAAAGAACCATTGTGGTCAACATTTCCAACACAGATGCAACTGTCTCGGGGCCGGAACCTCGCAAAGTTTTGCAGCCGAGAAAATCCACAATTTTGGAAGGTAACACCACAAGTTTTCTTGGATTTATTCGAGGTAGCATACATGAGAAGCACTAGCTATTTTTCGCCTTTTCCAAAAGAATTTCATCTTTGCATAATACTCTTTGAAAACGTCGCATCTGAATACAGGGAACCGCCCCTTGTTTCCATTTGTCATGATGTCAGCCTTGCAATTTCATCGCTGTTTCGGTCCTTTTCATAATACGTTGGTTAAAAGGTTTCCTTTGAAGTATTGCCAAAAAAATGGGCTCTATAGAATAAAACTTTCAGGAAAATGTCTGAACTTATAAATTGATTTCAGGCGTACTGAAGATCGCAAACGCGTTCACTTGCGTCAGCGAGTTCTTCAGTTGTGCAACAAAATCAACGTGCATGCCATCAGCTAGGGCCGTAGATTATACATTTACATTACACTTGTGCCTATACCAAATGCTACACATCTCAGTTTAAATTGGAAAGTCGTAAAGAATGGGTTAAAACTACTCAACTGTGACAAGAGCCTTGGTGAGAGTTATAAATAAGAATTATTAGTTATGAGAATTAATCTGGCGATCTCCGGTACAAATGCGAAAACGAAGGTTCAACGTTAATCCACAATTTTGGCAGGTAACACAACAAGTTTCTTGGATTTATTCGAAATAACATGCATAAGAAGCATTAGCTATTTTTCGCCTTTTCCAAAAGAATTTTCATTGTTTCATTGTACCCTTTGAAAACGTTACCTCTGAATACAGGGAACCGCCCCTTGTTTCTATTTGTCGTGATGTCAGCCTCGCAATTTCATCGCTGTTTTGGTCCTTTTCATGATACTTTGGTTAAAAGGTTTCTTTTGAATTATTGCCGAAAAAAATGGGCTCTATAGAATAAAGCGTTTCAGGAAAATGTCTGAGCTTATAAATTTATTTCGGGCGGACTGAAGATCGCAAAACGCGTTCGTATTGCGTCTGCGAGTTCATTCAGTTGTGCAAGAAAATGAACGTACATGCTACCAGTTATCGCCATAGATTATACGTTTACATTATGTTACAAATGCTACACATCTCAGTTTGAATTGAAAATTCGTGCAGAAAGAGCTAAAACTGCTCAACTGTGACAAGAGCCTTAAAGAAAGGTGTCAGAACGCAAGAACGACACGACATCTATAAATACATTCTAGCGATAATTAAAATTATCAGGTTATCCTTAGCATGAAGGTGGAAACGAACGTTCACCTTAAAAAAAGTCGTTGTATCTCTTAAACTTTTATTTTTCTTGCATTCCGTGTAAACAATTTTTTATGAACAGATTTATCCCTAAGCTACCAGATTAGCCTTGTTTAAGTGTTGTTCCAGTCGATCAATCAAGCTCAAATACCTATTTGAAGGACTTTTTGGTCTTGCATTATGTAAATACATACATACATACTACATACATACAAAGATAAAAACATTCATCCTTTATTTGGTAAAGGTGGTTGGTAGAAGATAGCAGCGAATGCTGATGTGAATCTGCTCTAATTACTATATAAAACTAAGTGAGTAAATAGGAAAAAATACTGAAAAAATTATATATATATATATATATTTCTTTTTTTTTTTTACATAAGTTAAAGAATGAAAGAGGAAGCATCGATTCTCTGTGACTCTGAGATTCGCGCCTAAGCGCTCGTCAGACAGAACTTTCTGTCTGACGAGCGCTTAGGCGCGAAACTCAGAGTCACAGAGAATCGATGCGTCCTCTTTGATTCTTTCACTTAAATATCCTCAGCTCTGTTACCACAGCATTGAGCACTTTATGCTAAGGTAGACTCTACCCCCATATTTATATATATATATATATATATATATATATATATATATATATATATATTTCAGAGAAATGAAAAGTGCAAGCCAGTAATTTGTTATAAAAATGAGATAAAGAGCTCCATTTTGCCTTGTGCAGTACTCAGGTTGTCCATCAGTCTCTCAGCACAGATGTGATAGTCCTCAAGTTCAGAGGGCAAATGTAATGATTGCCAAAGAGAAATGTACTAGATACTACTAAGTAAAATAGCTTTGAAGTAGATAAATCCCAGAGTTGATCAGTCGCAGGTATTTCACACGTCAATCTTTTGCGTAGGTGTGAAAGTTATTAGTGCCGAGTCCCTCGTGCTCATCGAGGTCCCAGACGATATCAACATCGGTGGCTGTGTTCTGGAAGACGGCTGGTGTCAGCTGACAGCGCAGGACCCAACTTACCCGAAGGAAGTTCCGTTGTACAAGTCCCCACAGTTTGATGTTGGGTCCGTTGGATTTGATCCATACTCGGCAACCGGGACCATAAAGACAGGCTCAACTGGTAACACTGTGAAAAAGTTTAACATTAAAGTGAATGTGTGGTTCTGCCCGGCTAAAACCAACTGCGGGATTCACAACGTACACACTGACCCAGAAATGCTAGAGGTATTTACAAATAGTGGATTTCTTTCCCTCTCCACTCCCCCCCCCCCCCCCCCCACCCCATTCTTATTACTGGGCGTGGCTGATTTTGAATACTCCCTTATTGAATGCAACTTAATCTTATTAAAAATGACAAGAATCACATACTGAAGTCTATTTAAGGCATTTCAAGTAAGTGTTCCAATAGCAGGCATAGCAGATGTGGATAGTTCAGAGAATATAAAAAATTAATTAGTTTCTTCAAAGGTAAACACTTACTTACTTGAACAAACTCTCAGTGTACAGAGGTAAACAAGACAAGTCAACGATTGTATTTGCGTTCTTAGGTCCACACCCAGATATATGGCACAGGTAGAATGCAGAAATTCCGCTCCAATGACTTCAAAAGCATTTATGAAGATGTGCTTATGGCACCTGGATTTACCCATAATCCTTTTGCTGGCGTCAAGGACAACGGCGATATCTTCTACGGTTGGCACCAGTACTACTCTGATACTGATTGTATCTGGATGGCCATCGAATACCATCCGGCATAATTCGCTTCATACTCGGCAATCTTCGGCAAATATCGGGCCGGTTGATGACAATGTTTAAATACATCGTTGATGTTTGAATGCGATTAAAAATTCTTGACAATCGGGTGAAAAATTACTCGCTTTAAAATGTTTGATATGTAAGTTTTTTTTTTTCGTTAAAGTTGTTTTCGACAAGAATATAGTTTTTAAGAGACACTTCTGGGCGATGAAAAGCACGAAACCATTTACTGCTGAATGTTGACCGGGACGGGAGGGAAAAGGCTCTGTAATATTTCTACGACCCCGTCCCCCACTGGCCGTGAATTGGCGGTCAACTTTCTGTAGTCCCCTCCCTTATACTTTGTTGGCGAGAACTAATCCTCCTTCTGTCCCCCCTGAAAACCATGTAATCTCCCCAAAATTTTCCGGCCCCCCTTCCCTCCCCCCTCACACCCCGATAAACAATGACAGGTCCCTTACACATCTCCTAGCCCGGTGTACACAATATTTACTTCAAATAAAAAGTGTTAAAAAAATTTCGTTTGTTTTTTTCCTCATTCCTTTCCAAACACTCCCAGAGGTACTCGCTGGCGGGCAAATAAGCCTGATGGATATTTGTTACAGACGTTATAATGATATAAGTGTCTTTATAACACTTTATAACACGGAAAGTGACAAAGTGATTCGTCGGCAATTTTAACGTCTTTACGGCTGATGGAGAAATTTAGAAAGGTCAAATCAACTTTTAGGGTAATATTTTTTTAACTTTGAAATTATTACAACGATATTTCCCCCTCTATTGAAGTTAATTACATTTAAAATCAGCTTAAAGCTGTACAACCGATGCTTTCGGTCCTCAGAGGTAATTTAAAATTCAAATATCTTTTTTTTCAATGAATATTCATATTTGCAACCATTCTTGCACGTGGAAAGAGCTTTTGAACTACAAGAATTTTCTGCGTCGTTTCCCGCTACTCTGAGGCCAGAAAATACGGCATTTCAACATCTTAAGTTTGGATATGAACTGTTGTGTCAACGTCGTGTATTTCTCGGAGCGTGCTGACTCGTATGGCTAAAATTCGACATTGACAATTCGAAAGATGGACGTCAGTCAGTTTTGACTTATATCAAGGTAATTAACCGACCAATGACACATATTTTTGTAAACACAGTATCGCTGTTTCACGTTGGTGCTTGAACAGAATCAACTACAAGGGTCGAGTCAGTTATAAAGGAGTGGAAAGGAGTTTTGCACACAGTATAGTGTAGCACAAAATCCCTCTGGGAACTACCTTGAGAGTTGTTGATGAATGACTAGTCTTTAGGGACAGAAGCGGGAAGTTCTTTTCTGTTGCTGCATGGCAAACATTTTCATACGTTTCTCTCTTTACGTTTCAATAATAATTTCATACTGTTTATGTATTTCTGTTTTTACTTTCCGTGTAATTTGTCTTTGTTTCTCCGGTGAACAAAGATCGTTAAAATCAAATATGTTTGCTCAAAATGTTCTTCAACAAGATGTCTCCTTTTCTTTTTCTAAGACTGCTTCAAGCACGGGCTGAGGACATCGTGAAATCAAGAATGCAATGGAAGAGAAAAAGAAGGACAACCGTCGATAAGGTTGGTTATTACGTTTTGTAACTAATCAACTAATATCCCACTCACACCAGCAAAAAACGTGTTTAGTTAAACCGGGTTTAACTGAGTGAAAATCAGGAACAGAGAACTTTAAAAAATTGAATTTCAATGCACAGATTTAAGTAGTATAACAAAACAACTTTAAAACGTGTGTTACGCGAAAATTTACTGATTTTTCCTTGTGGTTGTTATTCGGAACATATTTATTCGTAAACTTTCACATTTAACCATTTCAAGTCCTTTCATTTTAGTAAATCAAAAAATGTATAAAAACCACAGTAGCTTTTAGAAAAGATTTTGCTTGTTACTCGCTCTCAATATGCACTTGCATGTCGGCACTTTTGTTATTTATTACATGGTAAATATAAGTGTTAATGGTCTTCCTGGAAAAATTGGTTTTCATGGTAGTTAGCAGCTGAGTTTATACTCGTAACGTTAATTTCTTTTCATACGATAGTTTCCACACCAACTTTGCCTAGATAAGCAGAGACTTTAAATTGCTTTCCCGTTTTTCTTTCCTAAGCTGCTCTGTTACAATTAAGATAAGTATTATTTTCTATACCAGAGCTGTGAATTCACACCTAAGTTTCCTATTTTTAATGGCCTCGAGTTTATTGCATCCGTCATTTGAATTTTGAAATTCTTTCCGTCGTAGAAACAGATGGAATATCTAGGTAGTTTTCGTTTAACTTAAAAGAGACTTTTTCCGCTCCTTTGTGTCCTTAATCAAATATTGCGATTTGTGTAACAGTAACACCTCACACCAGTTTGTTCTTAAGCAAGTACCTTGTACAGCTTTGATGATTACAAACTTGAGTACGCTAGAGGTCATGTCACTTGTTGACCTGACCTAGAATAAAAGTCTACTGTGGAACCAAAAACACTGTCTCTTCCTTGACGTCCGTACAAGCTCACTCGAAGTAGATCTCCGTGTGCCAGGAAATCGTGACGAGTTTCCGTTCTCGCTAGCCGAGTGGTCTCTACCGAGTTAATTCCCCCCGTTTGTACGTTTTCCGCGGAAGTCCAGTTGTAGTGCGCAAAACCCTATCGTCACACGCGTTTTAGCTTTGTACCGTGATGAATAGGGTGTAAGATTGTTAGTCTGATCTGCAATAACCACCTGGACTTAAATTTAGCTAGGACGTGTTACATAAAATTAACCAAATTAAAATATGTCCTCTCTCTTTGATTAGGCTGTTTTTTCAGTAGTTTACAACACCGATGATTTAATGGATTATTACAATTAAACTGCTTGCGTCAAGGAAAAATCACTGCTGTCAAATACTTTTCTATTTCTTATCGAGCATGTCGTAGCCATCTGTCTGACTTGTCAAGTTACCATAGCAACGGTATAATCTGTGAAGTACTCCTTTAAAAGCAGAACTAGCTAAGAATTCCCATATCTTGCTGATTCTTTTACCACAAAATGAGTATATTGCATGGTTCTTAGTTTCTGAGGATGAAACTTTATATTTCTTGTATTTTCTTTAAAAATATCTCTGGATATCTGATGAATTTAATGCTCTAGTGTAAGTCTGAAGATATATATTGATAAATCTCTGATAAGTATTATGGTCCGGTATCTTCTTTCAAGCAAATTTTTAGCTTTTTCACAAAAACTTTGGAGCCTAATGATCAAATGTCTGCTCTTTAAAGTGAAATAAAATTCAATATGCTGCAAAATTTTCATAACTCGATTTTCTTTCCAGAACTCTGATACTTTTGAATTTCTAACAATTTCTTTGGATTATTACTTCTGATGCACAAAAAAGCCTTGAGGCCTTATTGATAAATATCTTGTCTCTTGATGGTGGGCTCCAAAAAACTGTTTTTTTTTTCTAACGTTTTCATTTGATTTTTTGCTCATCTCCGATAAAGTTATTGATATGAGAATTTTGAACCAGAGTTTCACACAAAATTCGAATTTTTTGCGGTTTGTTCGGTTATAAAGGATACAGTCCATTTCTCAAATAACTTTGCCATTTATTTAGGTTGGAAAAAAATAAGTATACTTCGAAAGGTGATTTTTTTCAAACGTTTGAAAAAAATTCGCCTTTTGATTTCGATATGTTCAATGTCTGATACTTTTCTTCAAGATTTTTAACATCAAAATTCAATTAAATCTCAGAGCCTAACAGTGGCTAAGAGCCAAGTCACTGTGCTGATCGCTTTTTCATAATTCTTTTTTGTTATTTGATAAAATGTCAGCTTACTTTCATTAATCAATGAAATTTTAGGGCGTATTTTTTTAAGTGATCTGCTCTACAGCTCGTAAGGCTGAAACCAAATTGAAAGATCATGCTCCATTAAGAGATATTGCCTAAAAATTGCATCCCGCGTTCATCTCCAAAAGATTTAAAACTTCATTTGTTTAATTGAGCCCTTCAGCTGGAATGTTTTGCTTTACCAAAGTTGGTCTACAAAACTGGTTGGTTCTGCTTTATTTTGTTCTGTAATTGGTCCAGGATACTCGTGCAACTTTCTCAACCAATCAAATGCAAAACTGAAACCAATCACGACTTGGTCGCCCGCGTTTTCCCGCGCTTTAGACGGTTTGGTTGTTTTTACTTCTCATCGGCCCTTAAAGGAAATATATTCTTATTGAATGTTGTGATTATTTTGGTTTTGGTTTTATGACCCTCAATGAAGCGCTCTACTGTAGTTTCCTTTTACCTCAATCTAAGTTTGAACTGTCAATTCAAAGATGCATACTGAAAACGGATGGAATTCGTCAGAGCAGTAAATTATAGAGACCACTGCCGCCAATTAATACTTCTTGGCTCATACATGTCAAAGAACACCAAAGATTCAAAGAACTCTTTGTAAAAATAATCTCAAATGCACTTTGTCGCAGGAATGTTTAACAGCTGTTCGTGGTTAAAAAGCATCACTCAGGTTTCTATTCATTTACATTTTCATTTAATTTTTTACCAAGTTGGGCGAACAGAAGCTTAAAAGCATGTTTAAATTTTTTAGCTTTTCTGGTTTTTCCTTTTAAAAATATGAAAAACGAAGCATTTTCTCGCGCAAAAGAACGATAAAGACGCATCAAAGGAGAGGAAAGATGATTTAGACTTATAGAAATTTTATTCATTTAATAATGCCAATCATTCAGTCATGATCTTAGAAGAATCGTTGGTGGGCACATGGTGAATTGTTTGATTTTGGCTTGACTAAAAAAATATTATTTGCAAGCTCAAAATTAAACAGTTTAGTTTAGACGCAAGAAGAACAAGAGCTAAGCTTTAATTTAAGTTCATTTTGACAACAACAGGAATTGAAATACGACTTAAACAAAACCAACATCAAATTCACCCAATTTATTCAAGTATTTATTAGCCATCGAATCGAACTGATTTATCGATAAATCAAAGTTGCGTTTACATTTGTTACTTAAAACCTCAGGATTGAAATAATGATTTTCACTCGTTCAACCCGTTACGCCCTGACATTGGTGTTAATATTCTCCACACTATTCTATCTACATCTCCTAAGGTGCTGACAAAGAGAATTTGTTTGACAATCAGGAGCATCTTGAATTGGAGATCATTTCCTTTATTTTTATCACCTATACATTCATTTAAAGGCAGATACTGTGTGGAGATATTAAAAGCCAGTAACTCTTAGTGGATAAAGGGTTAACATCGTCAAATGATTTTAAAATTAGTGTTTCTACACTTGACCGTATGGCAAAAAAAAATAAATAAAAAAGTTAAGATTTAGCAGGAGCTCATAATGGACTCCTGAATTTAGAGATTCCATACATTAATGAAGTAACTCATATTTTTATTACAGACTGACTGACTGGTGGATACCTTTGATAATGCCTCAAGCAAGAATCAAACAAGAAAGTCTGTACTTCCAAGGAAAGATAA